GGGCAGCTCATGGCGCGGCAGCTGCTGACAAGAGCACCAAATCCGGACTAGTCCTCATCAAGGGCATGCCCTGCCCGTGCTGTCGTAAGAAGGTCACGGACAAAAGACAACACCCTGCGCAGTGCCCTGTTTTGTTCCAAATCTCGTTTTACGAATTGGTTCATGAGCTCTCTCGCTGTCAGGGAGGACCGCTGCGACGGTACATCCCTGTTGTTAGTGCAGCGCCTCGTACTACCTCTGACTCCGATGGTAGACGAACCACCGGGGCAACGCCCCCAGCAATACAGGCAACGCCTGTGGCAGGTGCGCCCTTGCCCTCTGGCGCTTCGGGATCCGAGCACGTTACCTCTGATGCCCCCCGCCCGCTAAGCAACGTCTCCAACTACTGCTACATCAATTCTACGCTCTCGGCTCTGGTGCCGACGCGTGTTCTGCTTGAGCATGGAAGAGCTAGCTCCTCTCTTCATCACGAAGTTACTGACAAAGCCTCTGCTTCTCCTTTTACACTGACTGCCTCTTTTACTCTCCGCCACCTTACTCCCACCTGGCGTTATGATGGCCATCAACAAGACGCTTCTGAATTTCTGACGGCTTTGTTTGCCGGAATCACGGATCTTCCGATCGCCAGGCCTTGGGAAGTCAGGGATGCGAACACCACGGAAATCCTGGACGTAGGCGGGCCGCTGGCACTGTTGCCGGCTCCGCTGACTGCCGGCTCCCAGGACCTTCAAGACCTGGTAAGCCAATGGTCCGGGCAACCGGTGCGAGCTGCTTTTAGGGGACAGCAAAAGCTGATCGTCCTATCTGTAGCCCGATTTGCAGACGGTCGAAAGCTCAGCTACGCAGTCACGGGCCTAGGCCGTTTCATCGCGCTTCCCCAGTGGGCCCCTGATGGCTCTGTTCACACAGTTCAGGGCTGGGTGCAGTCATGTGTATTCCACATTGGAGATACCCCGCACAGCGGACACTATCGCTCCCTCTGGAGGAGCCAACCCGATCAACCATGGTCCAGTACGGACGACGGTCGTCCGACTGCTCCGGCCTCAGATTCTGATCTAAGGCAGGCACGACAAGGCTGTTATATGCTGTTAGTGCGACTTGGTTCATCACCGCGCACAGCGGAGGCTGGCCCTATGCCAGTCCCAGTTCTAGAGGAGTAAGCTGAGGGTTCCCCTGCGGCCAGGGGCCCCTACTTCCCCCTCGCAGGAAGGGGGCGACCTACTGGCTCTGTGGGACCGACCTGCCTACACGGTAGGGAGCAGGAACGCTGTTGTTTAGTTTTGCTGCTCAAGTTGTACAGCTGACGTAGCTCCTCGTTCATGGCCGGCAACTCTTCGCCACCGGCCAAGCCGGAAAAACGAGCACGTCGTGACCTCGAGGCTGCGGCGAAGGCTGCCGCGGCACCACCTCAAGGCGGGCGAGGCACGATCCGCGCTCTCTCGGTGCAAGAGCTCACCCGCGCCTTCTTGGCCCACGACGACGAAATTCAGAGCATTCTCCATCAGCTCTCCGTTGTTCATAAGCTCCCGGTGGAGGGACCGCTGGCCACGACGGCTCTCGACGCCATTCAGGGATGGCTGAAGGATCACAAGCCAGGCCAACCACACCCCTCTGGCTCTCCCACGGCTGCGGTTGCTGCTGCAGTGCTTCCATTCCTGAAGGACTCAACGAAGCCTGAGTCTGTCACACAACCAGCCTGGGAAGCCTTCAAGGCTGCTCTGGCTCTCATCCTCGATGATCCGGACAAGAACAACGCGATCAATCACGAGCTTGCTTTGTTTTCGGCTCGGGCCAATGCGAAAAAGACCCACCTCATCTTGGAGATCCGCCTGAAGATGCACAGCACGTTGCTCGCTCACGTCTCTACGTACAGCAAACTCATTGAGGACTTTGAAGGCGAGGCACTGGGCAAACGCCCCCAGGGCACTCTGGCTCGAAAAGCCCGTGGACTCCCAACGACCAGCTGAACTTGAGGCATCGAGGCAACGCCCCAAAGGCGAGGCAACGCCTCCAGGTTCCCGGGTTTTAGATTCGCAGCCTCTTGCACCCCACAGCTGAGAGCTGCGCGAGGGACTTGCTTTCCATCTATCAAGAAATTCACCCATGCCGCTCCTTCGCTCACACGCGTTAAAGAGAACAAAAAGGGCACACAGCTTGGCCGTGTAGTCTCTAGTTCTGCCTACTAGTGGTCTCTGCCTCCCCTTTGCCTGCTTCTCCTTCCACTACCCAGCTAACCATTGCTTGTTTTAGCCGTTGAGATCCGATCAGAGTTCCAATCCGGACTCCTTAGCTCACATAGCTAAGCCATGTCGGAGGCTCAGCATGGCATCTCCCAGGAACAGCTCTACGAGCATCTCCTGTGGGCGGCCCGTCAGGAACTCGATGGTCCGACTCATTCTCCGTCAGAGAACAAGGTTGACAAAGCGACGTCTGGCGGCACATCCTCAATGTCATCTACGTCTACCAAGCAGAACCTGGCCATCGGCAAGCGCCAATGGGCGACTGAAACATCCTCCTCTTCTACTACAACATCGCCGCCTCCCAAGCCCCCTACGCCTCCTGCATCCAAGCGGCAGATGATGTGGAAACCCAAACTGCCCAAGGCGTCCTGAGTCGTGTGGCATCGCCAACGACTTAATCGGCGAACTTCGCACCGCGAAACTAGTGCATGAAGTACTCGGCTGAAGAGCGGGTCAAATGAAGACCCTTTGCCAGCGCCTTAAATAAGCGTCTCTAGCTGCTTCAGCTAGGATCCCAGGTGTCTGGCAGCAATCGACTTGCATCGATCAGCAAAGTTTTTGGCCCGAGTCAGAGATTCTCTAACAATCTTTTGCAGCACGCTGTTCCCTGCGCGGACATGTCGCAGTCCTCGACCTCGCTCTCGGCTGAGGCTGGTAAGGCTCTGGAGAGCCTGCAGGAACATGGTTCCTCACCTCTTGTTCTCCCGGGGCATTACGTCAACCCCTCCATTCAGGTCATGTCCCTGATCACCTCCGAGCTGGGTCAGCAAATCAGCTCGGGCTACACCTGCCAGGTGTATCTTCCAGCCCAGCCCTGCTACTCCCCCTTCTCTGAGGTGCAACGCATCGATGTGACGCGTGGCCCCGCCACCTTCCCGCCCCTTTTGGAAGATCGAGAGCACTATGTGATTCGGACTGCCAAAGCAGGCTTCGGCGCGGAGGTTAATCGAGAAATTATCAGGGCGGCTCGCATGCCTGAGGTGGTGGTTCTCCAGACCATTTTGGCCTGGGATCCACAGCACCTCCGAGTGCTCATGCCTCGTCACTACCCTGTCCCGGTCTCTGCACTGACCACTCGTCATGTCTTTCGCCTCATGCAAGACATGCGCAGGGCGATCTCCCTGCTCCATGACCATGACATCATACATGCTGATGTTCGGCTAGCCAACATCATGCTCCGCACGGATCCTGCCAGCTTCGTCCTCATTGATTACGGCGGCAGCAAGGAGACCATTTGGCCGGTCCGTTATGGTTACACAGTAGCAGGCCGTGGAGGCACCCAACACCGCCCTCCAGCTGAATGCATGAACGAATGGTCGACCCCCTCGGTGCGGGTCCCTTACTTATGCGGCCGGAGCGACTTCCACCGCCTGGCCTGTACTATCCGTGAAGAAATTCTTGGCCAGATGGAAAGCGAGGCGGGGCAACGCCCACCCGCTGAGGAAGGCAACGCCTCCAGACGCAGGAAACGCGATCAGCTTCGCCCACAACTCCCTCGCGAGGCCGAGCAGGAATTGGACATGATGCTTGACACCACTACGTGGAAGGTCAAGCCCAATCCTCACAGCCTCTTCCCGCCTGGCTCGTGGCGAGACACGGCTGTCAATCCTACCATCATGCTGACGGCTCACCTGTGGACTACCGATGGCAAGTCACGCACCTGCACTACTACCTTTCGCTCGCCTGTGGAGCGCAAGGGCAACTCCAATGGGCATTTTGTGGACGAGCCGGACCAGCCCTCCTATGAGCCTGGCGCCTCTCTCACAGCACAGATCAACACTGGCTCGTGGGAACAGTCGGGCTATCTTCCCAAGATCTTCCTGGTCTGTGAGCTAAAGACTGAGGGACGTGGCACCCGATCAGTGGCTCAGCAAGTCTATCCTTGGCTGTCATACCGAAACAGGGATGGCATGCTGGAGCTAGAGCCACCGCCAGGTCCACCTCGGATGGACCCATCCTCGGTGCAGTCCCAGAGCAACGCTCCCTCATCAGGGGGCACCGCCCAAGCGCCACTTGCGCCGGGGCGCATTACATCGGACCCGCCTCCGCCTTCAACGACGCCTCCCTCCCCTATGCTAACGGGCGTTTGGGCTGAGCCACCTATGGAAGCGCCTGATGCGGAGGAGACCACCGCTGCCCCCGCAGCCTGGGGAGCTCCGGATGTTCACTTCTTCTCACCTCTTCAGGTCTTCCCGCTCGTCCACGCTCTGGAGCAACACGCCGGCACCACGGTACCTGGAGCAGATGGCCTCTCTCGCTCGGCTCTCTCCAACTCCATTCAGGATACGATGATCTTCTTGCAGGCTCTGTCGCTCTACGGAGTACCAGGAGCCGGAACCGACCCCCACTGAGCGCCAGGCCAACCCTCTCTTTTAGGGGTGTTCTATTACTGTGGTGACTTCAATCATCCTTCTCATTTCAGGCAACGCCTGCACACTGCAAGCAACGCTTGCTAGGTCCCTGCTCACACTGGACAATTTCAGCACAGCAGCTTAGCCTCTTCTTTCAGCTAGTCCTATAGCCCAGCTGGGCTCGACGGTGTATCCGGTGAGCAAGCCTAGCAAGGCCTCTCTCTTCCTTCACGCTATCTTCACGCAGCAGCCTTTCGTGCAGTATGTACAAAACAAGGCGTCTTTGCAGTGTGCTTCCGACTGCTTTACCAGTCTAGGTAGCCACGGCATCTCTGCTTCTGCCCTAGGCTCAAATAGCCGACTCCTTTTTCGCCTTGGGGTCCACCCTCTGAGAGGGCTGTGCCTCCTCATGGCGTGGACGCGCCCCTTTCCAACAGTCTGGGATGATGCAGGTCGGGAGGTACTCAATGAGGCGCCGCCCTTTCTTGCCCTTGCTGATTCCACCTTCCAGGGCCTTTTGCGACAGGGCAAGCAATGGGCCTCATACGGCTACCCCTCGCTAGGGATGGGCTACTCGGTGGTGTGTCCCGGGGCTTCCCTCGTTCGCTCCTATCCTGGGCGTCCCTATCTTAGGAGCCCTTGCTTTGGCTGCGGGGGATTCCCTCCAGTCTCGCGACTCCCTGCCAGCTCCGATCCTGGTCAATGAGGGCTTCTTGCATTTCCTGCGAGACAAGCTCGATGAGCCTGTCAAAGTAGGCCTGGTTCCCTGCGGACGCAGTGTGCCACATCCCAAGCAGACTGCTTATGACTTTGTGGAAAGGGCACGGCACGACTTCAACCTCAAGGACTACGAGTTCCCTTGGCAGATCATGGACCTGGACCAGCCTCCGGATCTGGACTTGTATGGCCAGGATCCCACTCACTTTCAGCCGTCTGCTGAGCTGCCTGCCATTGGGCGTATCATTGGCCGCGCTCTCTACTGTATGACAGTACCGAAACCACAGCGAGCTGACGGAGGCAACGCCCCCGAGACTCCGCAGGGCAACGCTCCCCAAACCCCATCTACCTCACCTTTTGCGGGTGGCCTGGGGCCAGGGGATGCGCAGCAGGCGCCGCACACTCCTCCACCCTTTCTGCCAGTTCTTCTGCGCTGCTCCTGGAACGCGACTCAGGGCATGATACATCAGGAGATGTTGGCCACCCACGCGCTCACTCGAGCCACCACTCTTAGAGAGTTGCTGATTGTGGCGGCCAGCCAAGCCAACTTCCCCATTGAAAAGACGTACCGCCTTACGGTACCGGCTGACTGTACTCCCTATGGGAGGTTCCCAATCCCGCAGCGCCTGGTCCAGACTTTCATTCATGACGAAATGGTTGGCCCTAAGGAAATGGCGGCGGACAAGTTCCGGACCTTTCGTCGCGAGTTCTTCAACGACGAAGCCTGCGCGGAAGTGATCCGTTCAGTCACTGGAGGAGCAGGGCAACGCCTTCTCTCCAAGCTCCGAAGCAACGCGCATCGCGCGGATGTCTTCAGATACGTTGAACACTGGCTCCGTGGCGGCATCTACCTCGACATCAAGACTGCCTTCCTGATCACGCCGCAGGAGCTTCACTCCTCCATCGTGGCAGAGTGGCGAGCAAAGCCACTCCTCTCCGACCTTGCCTCCCAAATTTATGGATGGGATGCTGATACCTTGCGAGCCAGCGGTCCTCCTGATTACTTCCTCACGGCCATCGGTCAGAAAAAGGACCACATTTTCCAGGGCATCCTCATGGGACGACGGCAGCACCCCCTCATGACTGCTGCACTACGTCATGCTTTTCAGCACAAATATGTGGATGCGCAGGGGGCCATCAACGAGAAGTATATGTTCTTCTGCATCGCCCTCTATGAGATCGTACGCCAGGACCTGCTCAGCGACCCGGTCCTCCACCCAACGGCGCAGGGACGCAGCTTGGCCCCTGGCTGGCACCTCACACAGACCCTAGGCCCGATCTATCTGCTGCAGGAGGTTCATGAGGATCAGTTGCGGCGAATGCAGGGCGTGCCCCCCAATGAGGGGCATGGGTTCCGCACAGCCTCCAAGCAACTCATCGCTCTTACTCGGTGCTGGGGTTGGAACAAGGGATGGAAGTCTGATCCGGCTTCCACCAAAGCCAACAACGATGCCATCCTTCGTGGACTCCCTACTGCACTCCACGCAGCACAGGAGGCTGGCAACGCCACGACCCGGCGAGGCAACGCCTCCACAACTCCGGTCCCCACTGAAGCCACCATTCAGGCACATGTGCTTGAAGCTCTCGACACCAGCCTTCTTGATCGGATTGTGCAGCTTATCGAAAAGTGGCCGCAGTTCTATGGAGAACTCACCAAGCAGCAAGTCCAGGAGCTCATCCCGCGCGGTCTTGGCATAGCCATTTCAGAGCATGGTGACACTTTGTGCTGTGTCTTCTGTGCGGGCAAATCTGGCGGGCCCTGCATGTTCCACACCTCTCAGGGCCTACTGCCGCACTTTCTGCGGACACGTGGCAGCGGTGCTACATGGCATCACGCGGGGGAAGAGGCCTATGCCAGGGCTACCACTGGGCGCTCAGGTCAGGCCGCTGCGGCGGCCTCCTCCTCAGATACCGGCAATCAACGGCCCAACGAGCCTGCCTCCCCGCCGCCATACGTCGCACCGCGACCAGCCATTCTTGATGCACCGCATCGTCATGAAGCTCCTCCTCAAGAGCCAGAAAACACTCCTCCCACAATGGAGGAACTCTGTGCCGAGAAGGACTTCTACGACTGGGTGGTGGCAGTAGCGGACCTCCAGTCACTGACGGCTCCTGAAGTAGTGGGTGTTCTTCAGCCCCAGGAGTTCACAGCGATATGGAATGCCCGACTTCAGGTCTTGACCAAGCTGCCAACCGTGCTTGCCGGCCTTAGCAGGGTTTACCAAAAACCTGAAGCTGATCGAAAAGACCTCAGCTGGCGCTCTGTGATCTCGGGTCGACTTGTTGTCCACTCCTCTGGCCACTTAACGATGGCCACGAAGGACCGTGCTGGTCAAGAGCACATTCACCCCAAGCTCACGACCTGGCTCGGGGGCCTTCAGGCTACCATTAAAAATGGGGTTCCCTACGCTCTCTTCGAGGGCGAGCGTGTGGCTACTCAGGATGAGTTTCGCCTCTTCGCGACGACCCTGCAGACCATCTATGAGGCAGCCACCAAGAAGGCGCACCAACCCTCCCACGTCAATATCATCCAGGCCACGCGTGACAGCCATCCAACCATCAAGATTACGCACGGCCAAGTCCTGGATAGCAAGCTGAACGTGATTCGCAATGTTATACTGGCCAGCAGCTTCGTGGTCGCCGCGAAAAACAAGCTGAGCACCGTGAGAACAAGGAGTCCAGGAGGTCGGACCCGTATGGATCTCACGAGCCTCCGCCCGAACAACACTCCAGATCCGCCGGCTCCCAAGACTGGCAAGACTGGCGGGACTGGGAAGAAAATTCCTACAATGCCAGGAACTCTGCCTACCACGGCTATTACCGCTGAGCCATTGCATGCCAGGGCTACTTAGCCAGTCTCACCTTTTGCGGCTGCCGGGCAACGCCCCAGTTGATGCCAGGCACCGCCTGCTGACATCATTGCGCGTTGTTGGTAATAGGCAACTGTAATCTTTCTCTTCCTTTCTGCTCAGCACCTATGCAATACAGGCAACGCCTGCACTGATGTCAGGCAACGTCCTGCTTACAAACCGGGCGTCCTTTGACGAAGCGCTCAGAGATGCGTCAAGCAGCACCGCCTCCGCTAGCGATGCTAGTCTCCTTGAGCGGAATACACACTTTCTTTCAGTCATTCTGCTCTTGCCGCACGAGCCAGGGACCACTCTCTCTCACTCTTTCTAGGGCATGTGGCTCCAGCAGCAAACATAGCCAGGAAGCTCCCAACATCATGTTCCAAACGCGAGACTTTCCGCCGGACCTGTACGCCGTGGCCCTGGAGGAGTACCTCTTGTTACAGGCCATGCATGCCCTGGCCGCTCGACCGCCACGCTTGTCGCTTCCGGCCGAAGCGGGGATGCTATCCTACAACGATCTGCTGCACCTGGCAATTCAGACCTTTGGGCATGAACGGATGCAGGAGTTGTCCTACTACCTTGCACGCCTGCAACCCTGTCTCCCTCGCAGCCTTGACACTCATATGCCCTTTCCGTACGGTGAGTTGGATGAGCGGACCCCAAGCGCTGAAATTCTATCGTGGCATTTGCTACAAGACGCTCAGTCACCGCTCTGGAATGCTGTGCGCACAGCAGTTCGAGCTTTGACGTGGCGCCCAGGTCGCCAACGCTTCTCTGATGGCAGCGCCAACAATGTCACCTTCGGCGCTTTTGCACGAGGACCTATTGGACTTTGCGCAGACACGGTTCGGCATGGATCCTTCTGTCGACTGCTTAACAGACTGATTGAGCACATCTGCCCGGAGCATAAATGGACTACCTTCTCCTTGAACCTCAACGTCCGTACTCCACCTCATCGAGATCAGTCCAACTCCAAGACGGGCACGTTGCTGCTTAGTCTCTCCCACCACGATGAAGGCTCAGTCTGGGTGGAATCCTGGCAAGGCACCGACTACGAAGAAACTGACTATGGTCTGCTGAGTGGCCGCCCATTTAGCCTAGCCTTTCAGGCACTCATTTTCCCAGCTCACAACCATGTTCACTGTACTCAACTCGCGGTTGGAGTCTGACAGATCGTATCACGCTGGCTGCATACAGCATTTCTGACCCTGGCCGGTTGTCGAGTGCGCATAAAGCCACTCTTGTTGATCTCGGTTTTCATCTCCCTTAGGTCTGACAGATCTCTTGAGCCCTCAGGCGACGTAGCTTCAGCTAGTTACGTCGGGCAACGCTCGCAGCTCGCATGCAGGCAACGCCTGATACGTCCACGAAATTTAATCTTTCATTGGCCTTTCATGGCACGGAGCTTCAGCTCCCGGGGGTGCCGTGACTTTGCCGATGCACTCTGCTCTTAGCCAAAAAAAAAGAAGAGCTGCCTCAGTCAACAGCATATTCGCATCACGGGCCTGCTCGTTGCTCACTATGTGTGGGCACGCCCAACTGCCACATTGAGGCAGTTACGCCATGCTAGATCGGGTTGGACACAGTCTCTCTCCATGAGCCTACGCCGAGGCGTGGGCAGCTTCTACCACATCCATTAGTTGGCCACGGACATAATATCACTTTGCGACCTTACGGCCCACCGCCTCTGATTGTGAGTGACCATGAGTGGGACGCCACGAAACAGGCACTCCGAGTGACGGCCCTTGGGTACGGCTCATCAATCATTGGTTCGTGGACATGGGACGCCATAGTCCACACTGAGGGTGACGGAGGGTTTCTCACCCAACTGAGTGACAAGTGACGGCCTCTGAGGTAGCTTGTAGCTTTAAGTTTTGTCTACTGCTGACTGCCAGTCTCAAGACTCCAGGCCCAGGCTCTCTTTACTATGCTCTCAGCTCTTTGCTCAGGTGCAAAGGCAGTTTCACACGCCCGCAATGAGCAGAGCCCGCTCGCTCAGCGTCTAATAATTGTTGTTGTTGTTGTTGTTGTTGTTGTTGTTGTTGCTGCTGCTGCTGCTGCTGCTGCTGTTGTTGTTGTTGTTGTTGTTGTTTGGGGGGTCAAACAGCATGACGGGGCTCCTGTTTTTGTCTCTACCTAATGTACAGACAAAAAGCAGATATATGGTGCAGCGCTGCTAGGCCCCCCCCTCCCCCCCCCCAACCCCATGGTATCCCGTTCCCCCCTGTGGTTCCCGGCTCTCTGTGGTGTGGGTTGCCCCCTGCCCCTCCCCCCTGTGGTTGCGTGGGCGTCCGTCCAGTTGCTAAGGGTTTGGAGCTTAGGATGTGATACAATTCACTGAACTTCGACCTGCCCTGAACTCCAAAGGCAATATAGTGTTGAATGCTATGGTGATGATGACGAAGATGGTGGTCGTGATCCCCATCCGCACTTTCGTCCAGTCCCTTGCTCAAGAGTCCCGAATGAATCAAACAAACATGACTTTGAACGAACCCAACCGAAACTTGGCTTGGCATGACAACGGTCGTTACAGTTTTCGCAAGAATATCACACGACAAGCACGATTTTCAACTAAATAAAGCAATGAACATGCGGTGGCGAAGCCCAGAGCAACATAAGAGCGGAGGTGCGACCAACAGTCACACTGGGAATAGCACATCAACGTCATTGTCCACAACATCATCGCCATCAGTGGAGGGGAAGGGAAGGGGGCCTGGGGTTCCCTGTGTTGTTTCCTATCCTTCCCCACCCCGCCCCTGTGGTTCCCTGTCTTGTGGTTCCATGTATTGTGGGTTATCCTCCCCCCCTCGTTAGCTAAGGCGAAAGGCCTGGCTTGAGGGGGGCATACCGTGGAGAACGTCAAACGGTTACGCGGATGACGTGTGAGTGTTTGCTAGGACGAGAGGCCTGGCTTGAGGAGGGATGGGGGGGGGGGGGTCACACCATGGGGGGTGGGTGGGGGGGGGGGGGGGGGTGTGCGGCTTAAACCGGGGTTATTTGGAAGCTGTCTCTTGTATATTAGAGAGGAAATTATGCTCTGGATCCCTCGTAGAAACACAAGAGGCAGCTTCCAAATAAACCTGGTTTGGGTTTCCAGGACGGGTTCCCGGCCCCAATTAAATAACTTAAATTATATAATTCCTGGGGAGGGGGGGTCTGGGGGGGGTCCGGGGCCGGGAATTAACTAGTTCACATAATTTAAATTTAAATATTGGGGGAGGCTTCCGGATTCAAATTATTTAAATTGTTTAATTCCCGAGGCCCCGGATTCCCCCCAGACCCCCTCCCCAGGATTTAAACTATTTAATTGGGGTCGGGAACTAAATTAATAACGTAAATAATTTAAATCCTGGGGAGGGGGTCTGGGGGGGTCCGGGGCCGACCCCCCCCAGACCCCCTCCCCAGGAATTAAATCATTTAAATTATTAAATTGGGGCAGGGAATTAAATAATTTAAATAATTTAACTGATTTATAAATCCTGGGGAGGGGGTATGGGGGGGGGTCCGGGGCCGACCCCCCCCCCAGACCCCCTCCCCAAGAATTAAGTTATTTAAATTATTTAGATTAATAAATTGGGGCCGGGAATTAAATAACTTTAAAAAATTTAAATACTGGGAAGGGGGTCTGGGGGGGATCCGGGGCCTCGGGAATTAATTATTTTAAATAATGTACATCCGCAACCCTCCCCCAATATTTAAATTATTTACATTATTTAATTCCCGAGGCCCCGGAACCCAACCTCTTCTAGACAGAACTCTCTTCTCCTACCGAGAGTGGTTTGGAGTGAGTTCTCTTCTTGTTTCGGAGGATGAGGTAGAGGACTTCCCATTTCTCTTTGAAGGTCGCGGGGAGGACCAGTCTTTTCTTTTTGATGGTCTGGGAAGCTCTTTGCTTTCTTGAGCGTAAGCTCTCTTACTTCTTCTGAGAAGCATGAAGAGATGCCGACTGAGGGTAAACGGAGCCTTCTTCTTTCTCGTGCAGTTGGAGGGGCCTGTCTGCCATGTTAAGATGGGGCCCTCTTTTTTCTCATTACATTGGAGGAAGCTCTCTTTTGGTCGAGGATGCAGTAGAGAACTTAGACGTTGTTTTCGAAGACTGAAGGCGCTCTGTCCACATTTACAAGGAGCGAGCTCTCTTCAGTCTTCTTTTCATTAAGATGAAGACTTACCAACAGGTAACGGGGCTCTCTTCTAGAAAGAACCCTCTTCTCTTACCAAGAGTGGTTTGGAGTGAGTTCTCTTCTTGTTTCAGAGGATGAGGTAAAGGAATTTTCATTTCATTTTGAAGGTCGCGGGGAGCACCAATCTTTTCTTTGTGAAGGTCTGGGAAGCTCTTTGCTTTCTTGAGCGTAAGCTCTCTTCCTTCTTCTGAGAAGCATGAAGAGATGCCGACTGAGGGTAAACGGAGCCTTCTTCTTTCTCGTGCAGTTGGAGGGGCCTGTCTGCCATGTTAAGATGGGGCCCTCTTCTTTCTGATTACATTGGAGGAAGCTCTCTTTTTGTCGAGGATGCGGTAGAGAACTTAGACGTTGGTTTCGAAGACTGAAGGCGCTCTGTCCATATTTACTAGGAGCGACCTCTCTTCAGTCTCCTTTTCATTAACTTGTTTCAGAGGATGAGGTAGAGGAGTTCTCATTTCTCTTTGAAGGCCCTCTTCTTTCTCATTACATTGGAGGAAGCCCTCTTTTCGTCGAGGATGAGGTAGAGAACTTAGACGTTGTTTTTTTTTCAGCTTCGAGCCGTTCAGTGAGTCGGCAACTGAAGGCTCCTGTAGGTCAAAGGGGCCCCAGATTGCGTCACATGAACGCAAAATCTCAAGAGGCACGTTGGCAACTTGAGGTAAAGGCACAAAGAATACGGCAAGTACTCGCAGACGTTGTTTTCGAAGACTGAAGGCGCTCTGTCCACATTTACAAGGAGCGAGCTCTCTTCAGTCTTCTTTTCATTAAGATGAAGACTTACCAACAGGTAACGGGGCTCTCTTCTAGAAAGAACTCTCT